TTCTAACGAGGAAAATGGTTTTCTGGAAAGCATGTGGTTCGTTATGTGTAACTGTACCCAGATAGGTAAAGATTAGTGAGATTGGTGCTTGAGAGTATTGAGACTTGTCAGGGTTTTGTTTGTTAATTTGTGCTTTCATCAAGACATATCGTGCAGTTGATTGGGTTATATGGAATGGGTCCATAAAAACTAATTTCTGTATTTAAATGCAGATTATGTTATTAAAGGCAAATATAATAATAAGGATGTTTTAAATTTTTTGTCACGATGCAAACTGCAGATGTTATTGTACACTTATCAAAAGAAAGAACTGGTTTAATCAAGCTGTTTTGTTTTAGTTTTATATTGATACAGAAATCTGTATATAAATTATATTTGAAAAAGACAAAATTATGACAGTTATTTGATATACATTATAATAGAATTTAAATGAAAAAAGAATTGTAAGTTATAACTTTATCTTTAGCTAGTTTCAAATATTTTCACTTTTTTATGGATGAAGAGCAGATACCTTGAGTGTAATGGATCACACCTGGTCAGATATCCAGCTTGGTAAAACACAAAAAAAAAAACAAAAAAAACAAAAAAACACAAACTTGCTGTTAATGTTAACTGTTTGCCTGCTTTTTGATGACAGCATTGATGGAGTAATAGCTTGAAAAGGTGTGAATGCACAATTGATATTGAATGTTTAGGAAAGCTTGATGAACCTTATTAGTTTGTGAAATCAGGTTCTTATTTATAACCGAATGTTAGACAGTGATTTCCAACTTGTGGATCAGAAAATATAATTGGCTATTTTCTGGGTGTTTGTCAAAGAACTTACTTTGGAGTTTTGCCTTCAACTTGTATTGTATTACAGTTGCTGAAATAGAGTTTGTACATATGTCAAAATATTATTTTATTTTGCTTAGCCAAAGAATATATAATAGGAAAAATAGAATTGGAATTGCTGATGTTTGGGAGCAGTTGATGTGTAGGTGTTTGAAAAGGTTAGGAACCACTGTGATGTTACGTCAGCAAATGATCACAGACTCTGGGTGATGCCTCGTTATGTCACAAATCTATGTCCCAATCACACAGGTGTAGAGGAGCTTGCTCTCAAGTACTTTCTTCCTATTGGTCTGATTTGTACTCATTATCTGTAGTTTGAATATTTCACAGTCATAAAGTTATTTATGTTTACAATTTATTCTTATTTTTTTTATGTAAGAACACTATAAAAAAAATGGAGTAGAAAGAGAGTGAGAGCAAGAAATAGAAATAGAGACAGAAATAGATATGGCATTGGAGTAAGAGAGAGAAGGAGAAAGAAGATTTGTAAGTGATACAGTTGAGAACAAGGATGAAGGTAGAGAGGGAGGGAAGAAGGGAAGAAGGATAGAAAAGAGGGAGTGAGGGAAGGGAAGAGGGGTAGAATGGAAAGAGGGAGGGAAGAAGGGAAGAAGAATAGAAAAGAGGGAGTGAGGGAAGGGAAGAGGGGTAGAATGGAGAGAGGGAGGTAAAAAGGGTAGAAGATGAAAGGGAAAAAGGATATGATGAAGTGAGTGAGGGAGAGAAGAAAAGGAGAAGAGAAGAAGGATAGAAAAGAGGGAGGGAGGAAATATGGGGAGGAGAGTAGAATAGAGGGAGGAAGAAGGGAAAAAGAGTAGAAGGGTAGAATAGAGGAGGGAGGGGAGGGAGAGGAGAAAGGAAGAAGGGAAGTAAGGTAGAAGGGAAAGGGAGGGAGAGATGGAGGGAGGGAGTGGAGGCAGGAAGGATTGAATGAAGGTGAGAAGGAAGCCATTTAGGCAGGCAATGAGAAAGGAAGGGAGATAGGAAGAAGAGAGGAGAGGAGAGAAGACAAAGAGAAGAGAAGAACAAGACAAGGGGAGAGAGAGCTGAGGCCATATTCTCAACAATTGTATTGATAATGGCACTAAGTAATGAATATGGAACCCAGCATAATCAGTCTTGTGTGTACAACTCGATAGATAAGAAAAATAGTTGCAAGACAGGCAATTTTCCTTCAAAATATGAGAGAAAAGATGGTAACTTATGTCATAATGGATGGATGGAAAGTTTAAATTGAGATAGCTTCTCAGAAATTACTGCAATTTGGTTCAAGCGTATGAATGTTCAAGAGCAGAATTATATATATGAAGACTTTGACAACTTGATGAAATCTCATCCTAAGGGGAAGACAGGATACAGTCATAGATAACCTATCAAGGATATTACTTTTTACATTGTTTGGGAGACATTTCCACCGCACACTTCTTGTTATAAGCATTTATAAGTGAGTTTCTGATTCTCTTCATACATGTGCAGTTATATATAGTTGTGGAAAAGATGTTTTATTTATAGTGATGGGGAAATTTTGTGCATTGTGAACAGTGTTTTTAGTATGTGTCATTAAAAAAAATGCATGAATCATGTAACTCTACAGTTTGTCAGTGCATGATGTACAAAAATGGTCAAAATCATAATAAGAGAATGTAACTGCAGTTTTGAAATTTTGAAATTCCAGGGTCATATGTTCTGATACAATGATCTTATCAGATAATGGCACTATCTGTGGATGTTGTTGTGCCACCAAGATGTCCAAGAGTACTTGGGATTTTTGGAGGATAAGTTGATAAGGTATTTTCGATAGCCAGAAACCCAGTTTGGATTGTGCCTATTAACTAATCGACTAACACCATCTCAAATGTATGATTGCAAAAGAAAAAAAAAACATGCATGCTTGCATATAAATGTTGCAGATTTTCCTTATACTAATTTCAGAAAGATTTCAAAATGGTTCTAATGTGATTAGAAATACAGGAAGCTACACTTGAGACAGGTACTGGTAAAGGTCATGGAAATTTATACAACCTCAGATTTGTTTATTCTGTGAGCAAGATCTGTAAAGCACCAGATTTGAGGGTATTTCTTAGAGTTGCAGGATATCAAGCTGGTTCAAAAGTTATTAGTCTTGAAGATATATTTACAGTTGATAGATATAGTTTAATACTACTGCTATTTTCCTTTCACAACTTTGATAATGATATTGACAGCCATAAAACAGCATGATGCCATTGGTAATAATGAAACAGATATTGTTGTATTAGTGTTGTTTATGAAAGTAAATGCTTACTGATTGGTAAAGTTTGTAAAACTAAATGTAGCAGAGTTGGAATAAGAAGTATATATATAATCATGATAGATATCATCATTCATTACAAAGTTGATATAGAATTGTCTAAAAGGGAGGTATACTGATAAATACAAAACTGCCCCAGAAAGTTATTGTGTATATAAATTGATTACAGTAATGATTAGTTTCAAGATTATGAGTGGTAATGAAGGTTTATCATTGATGATAAGGATAAGAAACAGAAGAAAAGATAAAGCAGATTCAGATACATTTTGGGTTTGTTGTAAAGTTACTATATGTATTTTGAATTGTTCTCCATTGGATGATGATTTACAATTTGTTGATAATTATAGTGTTCTGCAGAAAATAGTGATATAATGTTCAGAATAGAGATTGAGTTATAGATTGCAAAAAACTAAGTACATGTACAAGATGCTAGATTTTAAGTATTAGAGTGGCGTCATCATTGTCATTATCATTGTCATCATCAGTCATCCATTATTATCATTGTCAGTTATAATCATTATCTTTTATTAGCTTTTCCTCCTCCTTTTGTATTCCTGCTGAACAACATATATTTAATTATTTTTTTATAGTGTTTGTATTGCTGTTGTTGTCATTATCACATCATCATCAATTTTTATATTTCAGTTATAATCATCACTTCTCATTCTTCTTGTTCTTGTTCTTATTCATAGAGATAATAATATCAGTATCATGTTCACAGCAGAAGAAATTGGGTTTGTGACTCTCACTGATAGCAGAGCAGATTAACAACTTGGTAATAACTATTTGTAAATAAGAGACAAGAAGCTTAAAGATTTGTGATAAGGATGTACTCTTTTATGTGATTAGTATGGATGGAGTAATGTGAAGATTGTGAGTTACATTTAGATTGGTATACATTAGTGAATCTTTTTTTGTCTTGTTTTGTTTTGTTTTTATGGCTTATTGGTAAGATGAATAGTAGTCCTTTGGTGTACTTTACAACTCCATGAAGAATCATAAACCATGTTCAGAAATGTGCCACGGATAGAGAGATAATACAAAAAGTAAGAAATAGAATAAATTAAACTATTGATATCAGGATGCCATACATGCATGCTCTGTCTACTATGACTTTAGGTTATTAATATTGTTTACCCAAGTGCTTAAGTCTCCAAGGAGACAATCACTAGGCCTACCTGAACTCACCTTTTTACCCTATTCTTTGAATTTTTGAAGAAAAAGAGTATGATTGTTTTTATTTTTGATATTGTTAATAATCTTATAGTGATAAAGCAACAATAGGAATAATGCTGATAACAATAATGATTGCAGTAGAAAAAAAAGAAAATTCAAGGGATTAGGTAAACAGATGAGGATGGGTAGGCCTGGCAATTATCTCCATAGGGATCAAGTACTTGTGGACCCATTTATGTGTAAGAAGAATTGACAAACAAAACTACAGTGGACAGTGCATGTACCCAGAGCCACATGGTTTAAGCTATACCGTTGATGGTATATGCAAAAGGTTAGCTCCTGTTGAAGGAAAAAAGCTAGTGATGGAATTGGAATGATAAAAGAAGAGGAATGAGATGTGTGTTTCGGTTTAAGTGATGATATGATTACACAGGTGATATATGATGGCAGAAGAGTATTAAGCCATAAATTAAGATGAGAGCAAACATTGCCTCAAATCTTTCATTATAGTATGGCATGTTTACATGGTCTCATGGAGCATATTAGAATCTACCTTAATAATACTGAACTCTTAATGATTATAGGTATGCTTTACTAACTCGCATGATCTTATCTTTCCATATCTGAGTATTATCTCCATCTTTGGCTCAAGGATGCATGACCTGGTCAGATGATTTGATAAGACTATTAAATCTGGGTTTGTTCAGTAACAGATAATTAGAGCATGCTGATCTATCTCCACCATTTTCTCTCATTAGAGATGTTTGTCTTGTGTTGAGAGTGAGAATTTTGTCTCAAGGCATATCTGCAAGTGTTTTAAAGGAGTTTGATTATTCGCACAGTTATCTCAGGGTTTCAGGTATTGATGTTCACACTTTTTTCATATACTGTAACAGCAAATACTTTATTTAAGATAATTTTGATTTATGCTTATGATGTGAAAATGTACTCTCTCTGGTATCAGTAATTTAAACTGTAGAAGCTCTATTAGCATCAGAGTGATAAAGTTTTTAGAAATTTATTTGGAAAGTAATTTGAAGCTTTATTACAGTGTTTCTTCTCCATATTAGTTGTATCTGGAGTGATTTCTAAATTTAGGCATTTATGTGATACTTGGGTTTCTTTTCAGATGATAGTTGTGTAAGGTAACAGTCCCTTACTCAGGCCATACACATTCCAAAATGATTGTAAAAAAGACAATAGACCGTCTGACCAGGAGGAAATTTGTAACTTTTGACGATACATCACTCCCTCGTGTTCTGAACACCGTTGACCTGACAGCACTCGGTATTGGCTCAACTGTCGGTGTTGGTTTTTATGTGTTAGCTGGTGAAGTAGCAAAGAACACAGCTGGGCCTGCAGTCACCATCTCATTCCTCATTGCTGCTGTTGCGTCAGTGTTTGCAGGTGAGTTAATTTGGTCCATGTATTCTGTTGGGGTTTTAGATTGTGAGAGGCCTTTGGTGTATTGTTTTATTTGGTTTGGAGGAGTAATGTAGGTTATTGTTATTAGCATTTGCTATCTGACCTATCCTCAAAGAAAAATTACCTGTGCCATTTTATTTATTCATTTTTATTTTCATTTATTTATTTGTATTTATTTGTATTTGTATATATATATATTAATATATATATATATATATATATATATATATATATATATATAATTTTTTTTTTTTTTTTTTGTTTTTTTTAGTTTTTTAGTTTTTAGTTTTTAGTTTTTCATTACATGAAGTATCACATCATTTGCTGGAAGTCTTGTAATTTGGAGGAAAATTCAGTAAAAACAATTGAAATGTTAATTACATTGTTATGAGTGTTGCCTTTAGAATTATCCTTTTCCTTCCCCAGGGCTCTGTTATGCAGAGTTTGGTGCCCGTGTACCAAAGGCAGGATCAGCCTACATATACAGTTATGTCTGCGTTGGCGAGTTTGTTGCATTTGTCATCGGCTGGAACTTGATTTTAGAATATGTGATTGGTGAGGAGCAGGTTTAGAAGTTTTACAATTGGTGTATCTTATATGCATGCTTCTTTTGCTATACACATGTAGATCTCTTTACTTACGTTCAAAAGGTTAAGATGAAGATGTTGATGTTACAGGCACGGCAAGTGTTGCGAGAGGGTATAGTGGCTATGTTGATAAACTTGCAAATAACTCCATGTCAGAGGCATTGGGTGAATCAATGCCCATTTCAGTTAGCTTTCTCTCCGAATATCCAGACTTCTTGGCCTTTGGGCTTTCCTTTATATTGTCAGGTAAGTTTCTTATGAGTTTTATAATGCTTTCCAAATTTTTTTTAGAAACTATGGTAGCCTATTTTATATATTTTCTGTCCTTATTTCCTTGCATTTTAGAAGTAAAATGGAAGATAACTTGAGTGCGTTTCAGTGAATTGTGATCTTTGTATTTGTCCTATTTAGAAAGTCATTTTGAAAGGGAAAAGATCCTTATGACTGAAATAAGTTATGTTCATATCCTCATAGTTCATATCCTCATAGAAAGCATGGATAGGGCAGAAAGTAAGGTCCTTTCCTAAAGACAAAAATATTTATACTTACGAAATAGCTATGTTGATATCCAACTTCAGATGTATATAATACCATTCATTACTGTTGTCGCTGTTAGGTGATGTAATTTCTGGTCTTATTTTTTTTCCCTAGTTGTATTAGCGGTTGGCGTTAAAGAATCGTCAATGATGAACAACATCTTCACATTTATCAATTTAGTGGTAATTGCATATGTCATCATTGCAGCAGGAACTCAAGGTAATTTTTCTGTTTGTGTAGTTGGTATGATTAATTTGGGTGGAAATTTGCACAGTGAATTGTTGTAGTATTTTTCATGTATCATGTTAATATGGTCATCTATAGTATTTCTAATTTTTGACTGAAGAACGATAATCATTATTATCAGTATTTGCAAGTAATAAGGAATTTATGTAAATAGTGCTCATTCCTTTCCTTGTCCATTTACCAAAGCACTCTTTTCCCTGTGTCCCTACAGCTGAAGGGAAGAACTGGGCAATACCTGCAGCAGATGTAGAGGCAACGTGCAAAAATCCGAACTCAACATGCATAAATGTTGCGGATGACGACGATAAAGACTATGGATATGGGGGCTTTGCTCCATATGGGTTTAAAGGCATCATGCAAGGAGCAGCAACCTGCTTCTTTGGCTTTGTGGGTTTTGACTGTATTGCCACAACAGGTGAGTCGAGGATGCAACTTGTATGTTTCATTAACACATCAAACACGCTTATGATGTTAGTATAAAGGGTGTTTGATTGAGTAGTGACTATTGAAAGAAAAATAATGATGAATAATATCAGTGATGATGATATTGACAATTTGTTTTTTGTTATTATTATTGTTATTTTTATTGTTATTATAATTATAATTATAATTATCATTATTTATTATTTATCATTTATTGTTTGTTATCATTTATTATTTGTTATTATTATTATTATTATTATTATTTATTTATTATAGATATTATTATTTTTTTTAGATTTCTATAGATATTATAATAATGAGGATAATTGTAGTGACTTTATATTGTTATAATTTAATGATAAAAATATTTATTGTAATGATGATGATAATACTGGTAATAATAATAATGATAATGATGATAAAATGTTTATGTAATGATGATGATGATGATACTACTACTACTACTACTACTACTACTACTACTACTACTACTACTACTACTACTACTACTACTACTACTACTACTACTACTACTACTACTACTACTACTACTACTACTACTACTACTACTACTACTACTACTACTACTACTACTACTACTACTACTACTACTACTACTACTACTACTACTACTACTACTACTACTACTACTACTACTACTACTACTACTACTACTACTACTACTACTACTACTGCTACTACTACTACTACTACTACTACTACTACTTCTATTACTACTGATACTACTTCTACTACTACTACTACTGCTACTACTACTACTACTACTACTATTACTATTACTCCTACTCCTACTACTACTACTACTACTACTTTTATTACTACTACTATTACTGCTATTACTACTACTACTACTACTATTGCTACTACTATCATTACTACTACTACTAATAATATTATTACTACTTTTACTACTACTACTACTACGACTGCTACTATTACTATTACTATTACTGCTACTACTATTATTACTACTACTACCTACTACAACTATTACTATTACTCCTACTATTACTACTACTATTACTATTACTCCAACTATTACTACTACTGTTGCTACTAATATTTCTAACATTACTAATACTACTATTGCTACTTCTGTCTCTACTATTACTGCTACTGCTATTACTACTGCTACTATTAGTACTACCACTGCTGCTGCTATTATTATTACTACTACTACTACTACTACTGCTACAACTATTACTGTTACTACCTCTACTACTGCTACAACTATTACTGTTACTACCTCTACTACTACTACTACTACTACTACTACTACTATTACTACTACTATTCCTATTGCTACTAATACTACTGCTATTACGACTACTATTAATACTATTATTTTCATCATTACTACTACTACTATTGTCATCGTTCTCTTTATTATTATCAATTGTTATTGTTATTGTTATTATTGTTCTTCATTTGGTTGTTGTTATTATTATTAGTAGTAGTAGTGCCATCATTTTATTGTTATTATCAGTTATTATTATTGCTGTTATTATTGATATTATTATTATTATTATTATTATTATTATTATTATTATTATTATTATTATTTTGTTATTATTATTGTTTCTATTACTAGCAGTAGTAGTATTGCTGTTATTAATATTATTGTTATTATCATTACTATTACAAGTATTATTATTGTTTTTAGCAACATTATTTATATTACTATTGCTATTTGATCTCTATGTATTATCATTATAATTTTTCTTCTTCTCGTTATTATTATTATGATCGTATGATTATGATAATCCTCATTATCATTGTCATCATATTGTTTTTGTCTTTATTATAGGTTTTTTGTCTTACAGTAGTCATTTTCATTACATTTTACTTTTGTGCCTTCACCTCCTTCCATTTTCACTTGTGCTCCATTATTTATGCATTCCAAAATGTTTGTTTTTCTGCAGGAGAGGAAGCTATCAACCCTGAGCGATCGATACCCATGTCCATTGGCCTGTCCTTATTATTTGTATTTATAGCTTACTTTGGGATGTCTGCTGTCACGACTTTGGCACTTCCTTATTGCTGGCAGGTAAGAAGCTTTGGAAATTCAACACTATTTTATGGTAGAAAAACCCACAATGCATAAACTAGATTTATTGAAGAACTATTTTATATAACATTGTCAGTGTTCAAATACAAGGCAGGCTAACTCTCCTTCCTAAACACATGCAGAAGCAAGCACCAACATATGCACATGTTCGTGCACCCCCCACCCCCCTGGGCTTACACACACACTGACACACATGCACACATATTTGCACTCACACCGACAGACAGACAGACAGACAGACAGACAGACAGACAGACAGACAGACAGACAGACAGACAGACAGACAGACAGACAGACAGACAGACAGACAGACAGACAGACAGACAGACAGGTGGGTAAAGGAAACAGCAGACTAACATATGGAAGGAGACTCCCTCTCAGATGATAGCAACAAAAAGTCTTTGATATGTTATTCCCTTTTTTAACTTGTCTTGAAGTAAGTTAACATTTTTTTGTATTTCAGGATGAAAATGCTCCATTGGTGCAGCTATTTGAATGCCTAGACATGAACACCGCAAAATGGATTGTCAGCATTGGAGCTCTCTTTGGATTTTCTGCCAGGTTAGCAACTTCAGGTTAGGTTGTACTGAGGAATTCTTCATAGCAGAAGATATATTTAGAATAACTGATTTTTTTGTATTCAAATGTCATATGGCAGTTTTGAAAAGAAATGGGTCAGTAAGTGTTATAAATGTAGTAATTAACCCATTGCTGATAGGTGATATGCTATCATTTCAATGCAAATAAACTCAGACACTGAGTGATGCCTCATCACATCATGACCTTTTGTCATGATTGCAGAGATGAGGTGTTTCACTTCTTACCCTAAGCTGGACAGTTGTCTAGGAGTGGAGGACGACATCCTAATGTGCACCTGTTCATGACTTTGCTCAAAGTTTTACATGTCATTATTTGGTTGAGTCATTTTGTTTTTCTAAATACTCAGGCAAGCATTTGTGAGTCATTTACACTGAATAAGTTCACTCAGTGCAGGTTTTTTTATTTTGAGCAACCAAAAAAAGGAATTCGCTTTCATTGTTCTGAGATGAATAGTCCCTTCAAACTGGTACCCTGGTTTAAAGTCTTTATTACAGTGACGCATATTTGCCATCACTACAATAAACAGGAGTTTTCCAATTTTTAATGATGTCAGTCAGGTAAATGCCAAGTTGATTCCTTCCTTTAGCAAGAAATATAAGCATTAAAGAGTTTTTGGTCTAGTTCAGTGTCCTCCCTATAGGAAATGGGGCTGCCAACTCCTTTTAGTAGGAGGTCACCCAGGCCAAATCCTGAATTTGCTAGACTGATGTAACTAGGAAACTCATTTACTGCAATACCACAGATGAATAATAGTGTGGTAACTGCTGTTTTGCAGAAGAGTATAAAGTACCCAAAATTTAGTAATATGTTTCTCAAAAATATATTGACAAAAGTTTTGATCCTGCATTACCGTTCAGCAAGAATGGTTTAATGTTTTTTTCTGAAAAGATCACTAAGAAATGGCTTTACACCTGAAGATAAAGACTCCTTAAGATATCTTTAGGGCTCATGATAGAACTAATAATCCTGAATTAAAATTTATACATGTTAAGATTTCACCAATTATCCACAGTTTGTTTGGTGCGATGTTCCCCCTGCCCCGTGTTATTTATGCCATGGCTGATGATGGATTACTGTTTCGGTTCTTATCGAAGGTTAATAAGAAGTTCAAGACACCAGCCATTGCAACAGTTCTTTCAGGACTCTTTGCAGGTGAGTTGCAGCGTGCTCGGTTGAATCTTTTCCCAATTTGATGCATCCTTTCTGTGTATTTTGTCTAATTAGTAATAAAGGAAGAGATAGTATTAAAACAGTGAATCCTTAGGGTGATTACTAAGATTTATTCTTCTGTTTAAGACAGTTTGTGTAGTTTTAGTAATGGCATATTGATATTTATAGACAGATGTTAATTTTATCATATTCTCTCTTTTTACTATTACAAAATCTTTATTTGGTCAATATTTGGTATTTGTAAGATATATTTGTTTCTTAATGATTTTTATAAATACCTTTCAGATCCAGGACACTCATAGCATTCACATTAGGCCAGTGTGCCGAATCCATCTGTCACGCATAATTTATCCTTTACTTTTTAAAAACTAAAAGACGGATAAAGATGTGAACATCACACTTGCCATGACTCCATTTCCTTAACATTGACAACTGGGTTAACTTTTGACTTGAGCGCAGCTGACTTGATTTCTCTGAACTATTGATTTGTAACCAGTCTCAGTCAACATGTTTTAAAACAAAACATATCTTGTTTGTTATATTATCATTGAAAGTTACTTGTTTTGTTATGAAAATGAATTAATTTAACTACCATAGATTTATTGTAACAGGACATTCTGTGAACTTGAACATTTATATTATGGATTAAATGTTGGTAATTATCTATATCATACTTATCTGAAAATATTTTAGTGTTAGAGGTCTTGAAGAAGGAAAAAATGTAGGTGAATAGGCCATGTCGAGCAAATACCAAATGTTGACCCTTTTCTCACCTACTGTTCCCTCACATAACTTCCATTCTTCTCGACTCTTTTCTTGATTATGCATTTGTTTTTGGCAGTATATTTCACTAGTATATTTTTTTCCCCAGGGATCATGGCAATGATTTTCAATTTAGATGCGCTTGTGGATATGATGAGTATTGGCACACTTTTGGCCTATTCCATAGTTGCTGTTTGTGTTATGCTGCTAAGGTAAGACAGTACATATCAGCATAGTGATATGGAAAGACTTTTCCTTCTGTTGGGTTTGGTATAATTTATTCTTAGGTTTAGCTGCTTTAAGTCTTGTTAGTGATTTATCTAGTCACCAATATTGCATGATTCCAAACAAGAACTCAACTTTTTTCTAAGTAGCACTGAATTTATGTAGCGTTGGATGAGCTTTGCTTCTTGTGGTACAATTGTTATTGCTCTTGTTATATGTATAACTTTCAACTGTAGAAAAGAAAAAAATTATGAAAGTTTTAACTATGTAGATATAAATTTGGGATAGTTTCTTTGCTGCACTAGTGTGTCAAACATAGTTGATAGGCATGTTTTTGTGTTTGACCTGGGCTAAAAGGTTGTCTTAACACTTTCTGTGGCTCTGACTGTGTTCTTCAGTGCATAAAAGTCATGTATTGCCTTCTCATGCAGCGGTACAGACTTCCAAAGTTGGCAGATAACGTATCGTACTGTACATATTAAGATAAGATCACTAGAAACAAGGAGTATGTGCTAATTTATGTCAGAATCTACTTATACATCAGGTTATTCACATCTGTCATGAAGCAAGTTTTCACTGAGTATATATAATGTTTTTATGTGGATTTTTTAAGAAGCATGCATAGTGGTTGAATATCAATAGTGCAAGGTAATATATCATCAACCATAGTAAATAAACCCTGGTAGATATAGACAGTATAGAGTGATATTTGTGCCACAAGCAAAAAAATCCAAACTTTTTAAAATTGCTGGATTAATGTTTCAGCCTGTTTATTATTATTGTTGTTGTTATTATTGTTATTATTATTATTATTATTATTATTATTATTATTATTATTATTATTATTATTATTATTATTATTATTATTGTTATAGTAAGCTATATAAAGAGCCACACTGAAAAAATCGAGATTTATACCACCAAAGGTGTCGGTGCAAGTCAAGATACAACTAAGAAAGAATAAGAGAATAGAAAGTCAGATATTTATGTAAGAAAAACATGTTACCTGATCTTTTAAACTTATCAAGAGTTGGAGAAGTTACAATCTCTGAAGGCAAACTATTTCAGAGTATGCAAGTAGCAGTAAAAAAGCACCTAGAAAACTGACTTGTAGATGATCAACTTACATCAAATGTCATTGAATTGAGGGTCATGGAACTTCTAATAATTCTTCCAGGTTGAAAAAAATCAGGTAGAATCTTGTGAATTAGGGGATGTGAATTATCAGTTACAATCTTGTATAAGACTGAAAGAGCCTTAATAAGTCTACAATGTTCAATGTCCAAATTTAAGTCACAATCTTTTATAAGGCTGAAAGAGCCTCAATAACTCTACAATGTCCAATGTCCAAATTTGATTAAAAGAACAATCAAGCAGTCTTAAGTGTGAGTCTGCAGCAGATAACTAGACAGGAGAACAATTCTCAAAATGAGGCAGAATAAAAGAAAAGAAGCACCTACGAGTAATGTTGTCATCTTCATATTATTTTGACTTTATTCAATGTGGGCCATAAAAGATATTTTGTAATGTATTGGGTATGTCCTTTTTTCTATATGGGTAATATGGATTGTGCTGTGTGGTTAATTATGTTTGTTATGTGTTTGTCCTCCTGCTTTCAGGTATACAGACTTGGAGATCACAAACTGGAATTCTGAGTATACATTACTTAAATCTACGTAAGTATGATAATCAGCTGCGATGTTATGTGCTTTTTTTTTGTCAGTGATTATTGTATTATTCTTTTGATATTGAGAATGCAAAAAGAATGGGTATACCTGTATATGAGTGTTTCCATTTAGCAGTCTTTGTAATTTTTACTTGATTTTCACATAATCTTTAAGTTTTCTTATCATCAGCTTGTCTATATGTGGCAGGGTGGGTGGGTATATGTATATATGTATATATATATCATCAATCATTATCATTATCATTGATGCCAGGATGGTGAAAGTACATGCAATGTCCAGAATGAATTTGGTTTTTAATATTGTGTACATTGATGACTCCACAACTGCTTATTCCCCAAGGCGTTAATTACTAGTCCTCGTGTCTCAACCGTTTACCCTTTTCCTTGAATTTTGGTAAGGTCTTTATCATTTAAAAAAAGAATTGTTATTGGTGTTGATGATGGCATAATCGAAATGTCAGTAAGGACAATAAATGCATCAGTATTAAGAAAGTTAGAAAAAAACTTTTGAAGGAAAGGGGAAATCAGGTTATGTCTTGTAGGCCTGCTAATTGACTCTTTGGTGGCAGAACTTTTGTGGAGCCATTTATGTGCAAACAAAATTCAAAAACATAATTACATTACATTCACTGGGCAGCAATGAGTTTAGTAGTATTAGCTTTGTAAGGATTTTTTTGTCAGGAGAAAAAAAATAATCAAGACAAGATATTATGTACTTCTGATGTTTCAGACAGTGTTTGATAATGATTGAGCTGAATAGGAGCCAAATAACAGGTGTGATAAGTTACCAGGTATGAGAGCTTAATCAGAAGTATTGACCTCTTCGACTTTGTGTAGTCTTAGAGCTTGAGGGTGAAACCTAGCAAAGCAAAGATGGAAAGAGTCCTGTGAATCAGCGGTGTGCTACATCTCTGAAACACATAGCAAACAGGGCAGTATCTACACTCCAAGACAGAAAAGAAAATGGGGTTGATGGAAGGGAAAGAGTGATTGAGACTTGGAGAGTTACTGAAGTAGATTTTTCTCTTATTTTTGTCTTCCCATGTCCCTAGATATGCCATGCAAAAAGTCAGCTCACTCAGTATTTCCAGTATGGCTCTCATACCTTATTGCTATAACCTTCACGCTGGTCCTTGGAGAATTAGAAAACGGGTGGTTTGTTTGAACTATTATTTTACGTTTTAGGTAAGAGTGTTTGTTTTCAGGATTTGACCTGTAGGTAGATGCAGTGTTGTTGACATAGAGCTTGCATACAGCTGAGATTTTCTATATTTATAACTGTTATGAATTTATAGTTTAGTATGTACTGCCTGACTTTTCTAATCTTAAATTTGTGTTTCCCCCCCCCTTTTTTTTTTTAAGTTAGTGTTACTTGTAATGTTCTTTTAAATTATAAGGATATGTTTAGAAGCTTGTAACATTATTCAATATAGTTTTTAAACCCTAAAACTACTGTACTGCAAGTACCTTTTTAATACTGGTATTATTTTTTATGAAATATCCTGTTTTTGTTATACTATATAGCAGTGTCCAAACATTTTTGCACTGTTATGAGCCACTGCCCCTCCCCCATCCACCATGGCTAAACAAACTGTTTTATTTAGGATAATGCAAATAATATACTAATTATGAAAAGACTGTATTGCAGGAGTGTTGGTCTATAAATTCGAATTTAATACACAAATACAAAAGATGATTTATAGAACATGTGATGTTTCTACATGCGTTGCGTGCGTGCGTGCGTGCGTGCGTGCGTGCTGCGCGTGCGTGCGTGTGCGCGTGTGGCGCGTGTGCGCGGTGCGCGTGGCGCGTGTGTGCGTGTGTGTGTGTGTGTGTGTGTGTGTGTGTGTGTGTGTGTGTGTGTGTGTTTTTGTTCCTTGTTTGTTCACGTACCCTTATAATTTGTGTTGCAAACCCCAGTTTGGACAACACTGCTATATAGTATTGTAATTCTTATAATGGTACCAATCATTTTAATTTCACTTGGTCTTATTGTAAGATATGTTGTTAGCCTTATTTATGACTTCTTTTACTGAATATTATTTTCATATGTCAGGATCATAATGATAATTAGACAAATTGTGATATGAATGTGAAAATATCACCTGTCAGTATTGTTTCAGGGTTATATTGAAAGAATAAAAACCATTGCTTAAGGTAAGCTCCTCATAATCGTATCCTTCAGGTATGCTGAAGATGAAGATGGGGATGCGCAGGGCCTTAGTGAGGCTGGAGGGAGAACAAAGCCAGGTCTCAGCAACTCTAAGTACTCAGCAAGTGATTATTTCCAACAGCTATTTAACATAAAAGGCCTGAAGGAACCAACAGATTTGACAGCATCACTAGCCAGCTATGCCACTTTAGTTTTCTGTGAGTTTTGCATATTTTTCTATATTTATTCTCAAACATTGCCGACTAGATTTAGGTTTGTGTATTATCACACTTTCAAGCAGTGCATTCACTCCTTTTATGTACTCTGTCCAAACTCATATGCAAACAAATTTATACATCTTCTTGCTTAAACAAAGGAAGTAAAATAGGACAAAGACAAGAGAAGACAAAGAAACAAGAAAGGAGCAAGAGTAGAAATAAAAACTGTATATGTAGTCACTATAAAAAAAAAAAGATAATAATAATTTAATTCATTATATCTCTTTTTGTTTTAAAACTTCGTGTCACAGAAATTTTAAAGGTTTTGTCTTTTGCAGGTATCCTCTCAAGTGTTCTTGGAATCTTGCTCGTGGTTTTACAGGAAGCAATTGCTGCCGGTGATGTTGGAGCCATAGTTGGCATTTCTATCTCATCTGTTTTGGTGATTGTCAATGTTGTTGTCATTGCAAGACAGCCAGAATCCAAGAAAAAACTTACTTTCAAGGTATGTCTTAAAAAGAGAGAGAAAAAGATCTGTATCATATCGCATCATTTCTATGTTTTGGTTTGTGAATTGAATCCTTCTGATTGGTTTTGTACTATTAAATTGATTATAAGAGTAACTATATGTGTGTATCTTTTTCAGGTGCCCTTAGTACCTTGGATTCCAGCCCTCAGTGCCTTCATAAACCTGTATTTGATGTTTAATTTATCACCAGCCACGTGGATTCGGTTTTCAGTGTGGATGGCATTAGGTAAGCAAAACTATTTTTTTCCATGTTTATAAGTTTCTCTATAACATCATAGCATTACTTTAAATTTGCTAGTCTGGTTTTGCAAGCTTTTTATTTTTTGCCTTAGTTTTGCTTGGCAAAATTGTTATGCAAGGGGAGTAAAGTTCTGCATGTCATAACAGTAAAATCCAAACCTAGAGCATAGTGTATAATACCAAATAGTAAAGGGCTTAATCCTCTGGATTTCATATATTAGAAGGGTCATTTTATAGTAAATTATTTTCATTTATACAAGTGGATTTACAGTGATAGATCCATAGTGATGGAAAATTTAGTGCAAGTTAAAGACTTTTTTTATGGAAATAGATAAATCACTGTAAGAGGACTGGGTATATAATATAATGTGAGCCTGATGGTATGATTATCATCAGCATTGATATAATTATTTTTAAAAAATTACCATCAATGCGCTGTCCAATTTTGTTTTGTTTTCTTAATTTTTTTCACACATAGATGGTTCCTCAAGCACTTAGTCACAAGATTGATTACTATACCAACCCCACCTCACCTGTTTATATCTTTCCTTGAAATTCAGATGAAAAAAATCTATTACTGTTGTTATTGGTCTTAACATTGTTGCTATTATTTTTATTATTATAGTGATAGTGCTCATAACGATGATATTAGTTATGAAGATGAAAACCTGTCTCGTAATGATTCAACAAATGGGGTGAATAGATGAGGTCATATGGTCATAGTAATTGTTTCTTTATTAAAAAATAATAAAACAAAACCATTGTGGATAGTGTATGCCCGTCTAACATCAGTGGGTATCGTAATACAATATGCTCGTAGATGAAGTTATGAAGTTATATTGTTTAATGAAATATTTTGAATGCCCTTCCAACATCAGTGGGTATGGTAATACAATATGCTCTTAGATGAAGTTATATTGTGTAATGAAATATTTTGAACACATTTGCATAGTGCACGGGATGTACAATTTGGCTTTTTAACAAACTTTTCACAAATAGAGTATGCTGCATGCTACTAACACTGCTTCCTAAACTTTCCTTATTGCATGTAGGCTTCCTCATATACTTTCTGTATGGCCTTTGGAATAGCACAGAAGAACTGAAGTCAAAAGGTAAATGGAAAGGTGTAGACAACCCAGGCTTTGTTAATGATGAAAGAAACAACAGCAGGCTTCAGGTGATACCAACCATTGAAATCCAGCCAGCGACTCCTTGCAGCTCCGAGCCAAACACACCATCCACCGTCCACAAAACACCCAGGGCCAAAACACCTCTCCCAGAATCCCCACTTGTAACGGCAGAAAGGCAAACAACATCTGCAGAAGTGCATAGGAAAGAAACAGGGAGTGTTAGTGAAAATGAGATAAAGGAGGTATTGGCTTCACTGGATAGGATCGTCAGTGGAAGTGAAAAGAAGAGGATTGATAGTGAGACGAATGCATCTATCCTTGAAGACGACCAAGAGCTTCACTCAAGTAGTCCTAAACGATTATCAAATAGTGATATCCAGGCAAGAGAATTGCCTCCTTTACCAGACACTGGAGCTGAGGAAGATGGAAGCTCATCAGAAAATGAAGAAGAGACAGGTAAAGAAAGTAAATCAAGAAAAGAAGAAGGATCTAGTTTATCTACTGATCCTGGTTATGAATCCTTGCCACAAGTGATGGCTGATAAAGAGCAAATAGCAAATGGAGAATCAGAAGACAAGGCAAGCCAGGATCCAGGATATCAAACTATTGAAGATGTTAAAGCTGAAGTGGAAAAGGCAGAGAAAGAGAGAAGTATCCATGGAGAGGAAGAGAAACCTGAGATGGAAGAGAAGCCAACGGAGCAGAGTATATCTGTTGAGCCAGTTTATTCCATAGTTGATAAGAAAGCCAAGAAGAAACCTGAACCCTTTGAATTACAGACAGATCCTAAAGAGGACAGCACTGATAATGAATCATCGTTAAAGGTTTCTGCATCTGCACCTGTTCTTCCCCTCTCATCCCCACCACCAGTACCACCACCATTCCCTCAAGCAGGAAAAGGATTATCAACAAGTAGTGTCCCAAGCACCCCAGTGATAAGGAAACATCCATTCAAAGTCTTGAAACGCATGTCTAGCTTTGATGATATACCTCCATCCTCTCCTGATAGTCCATTAGCTCGTCATTTGAATAAATTTATAATCATCCCAGTCCATGAACCAGATTCAGATAGTGATGCCAGTGCTCAAGCTTCACCCAGAGAAAGTTTGCAAGACCCATTGATGAAGGAGCTCACAGCCAGATTTAAGGCTAAGGAAGGGGATAACAGCCCTGAAATTGACAAAGATGATAAAAAATTGTTTTATGTAGGCAGTGATGATTCTCTAGAAAGTGCTATGGCAGGAACAGATTCAAACAGTTTTGTGGCAAATTTACCAAGTCCCACAATAACAGCTCAGACTAGAGAATTTAAGAGAGTGTTGACCAAAGACTCCATGCTGGATGGTCTAGACACCATCAGAGAGCGAGGAGAGAGCAAGATCTTTGCCAGTGAAGAAGACAAACCCAAAGAGAATATTAGTGAGAAATCTCAGGACCTGCACTCACTGCCTGAGAGCCAACATGAATCTAAGAAAGACACTCCCAAAAATGATGAAACTGATAGTCCTCCTGATGATCTTGCAAAAGAAGAGTCTTCAAACTCATTGCCTGTGAGTGGTGAAGAACCTGTAAAACCTTCATTCTTTGTCGGTCAGCAAGAAGAAGAAGGAATATCTGAAACTGAAAGAATATCTGATGCTCAAAATGAAAAACAATCAGCAGCTGAACAAGTTGTCAGTAGTTCTGATTCTGAAAGTGAAAAACAACCAGAAGTTGAAACTCCTGTCCATGAGACCAATCCTGAAACTGAGAGCGCACCAGAACCTAAACGTGCTGTCCAGAGGTCTCAATCAAAAAATGAAGAGTTCAATAGACTAAAATCAATGTTTGATAAGTGAAAAGTGCAATAACTGTTTTATTGTGATTTTCTTAGGATTACATGCTTTCAGTACAACAGTTGTAAATTTTTTTCTATTCCATAATACTCATATGATGTCATTTAATTACGATGTGAAGGATTAGATAATGGAACAATTTTAACAATTTTACGTAGGTTTTGATGTTTTTAAAAGATCAAGAGATTGGACAAAACTTAGCCGTGTTGTTACATTTCATCTTCAAAGAAAAATAAATTAAAACAGTAACTGCGGGAGTTTTTAAGAATGTAAGCTTTTGTACACTGTTGTATTTCTATGTAGATTCCTTTTGTATACCTCTGCAAGTTCAAAAGGACCCTTCCAATTATATCTCCAAAAGTTTCTTGAAGTTATTGGATACTTTGATGAAACTGATGTGCAGTCAAATAATACAGGGTCATCTAAAGCATTAATTTTGGGTGCAATTTTGCTGTAGGTATTTTACGTATATAATAGTGTAAACTTAAACCAATTATTATATTTTTTGTCATTTCCTTTTTGCAATCCACTTGCCCCGGGATTTTCCTGCACCATACTAAGCCATGTGCTAGGCTCTAGCCACTCAAGTGAAAAAGAGAAGCACAAAAAATATATACTTAACCTACTCTACACTTTTAGATGTGACACATTTTTAAGGAAATAATGCCAGAATATCAAGACCAGACAAGCAAACAACTGTTAGTACAATTTAGAGCAATCTTGACCACACATGGCATGGGTGCTTGTTACCCAGCATTTTCCCAGTTTGCCATTACATGATATAGATGCCATATGGCATGAGTTGGTTAAAGGTTGATAATGCAGAGAAAATGAATGTTGACTATTTTTGTATTGATATTCATTGATATACTTTTGTCAGTATATATGTATATATATGTCTAAGTTTTAGTATGTCTATGCCTAAGAAGCAAAATAGGTTGATGTTTGTAAAATAGTTATTGTAATACTTTTGCTTGAATTTTTTATTTTATTTTTTTATTTTTTTTATTTTTTTTTTTTTTTTTTTTTGTGAAGCAAGAACAAAAAATTTAGACAATTTTCAGCACTCTAATCTAATCACTTTTTGACAGCCATATACGTGAATATGTTAGCTCTTCATTGATACAGTTGTAGGTTCTGATTTAGATATGGTTTTAGGTACAAATGCATGTACATATAGTATATATACATACAAGAATGTGAATCTATGGAAAATATACTCTTATTCCAAA